ATTTTATTTTTATTTTTTTGCATAAGAAGTTATTGTTTAAGTCTTGAAGCCGGTTCAACTGTCTTGCGTTTAATAAGCCTTTTAGCTTGATGAATAAAACTCGAGATTGTTGAAATGAAGGAGGTGGGCGTTGCCTGGTATCAGAGGTAAAATTAGCGAGAAAATGGCCGCCCATCAGAGTTTGGTGATTTCCAAAGCTCGAGTGTCCTTGGAAACTGCAAATATTCTTTTTTGTGCTTTTGATCAAGGTTCTTTAAAAAAAATATAGTTAAATTAACACTGAAATGTGTTTTTAAACGAACTTAGGCGGTGTAGAGAAAAAAATGTATAAAAATTGGTGAAAGGTTTCCTCAATCTTATCACTTTTGACTAGCGCCTGATTTCACAACGACGGGTTATATTTTAATCAAAATCAGCTGTAGCACTCTCCTCTTCCTTCTTTCCTACCTCTTTCTATAACCAAAAAACAAACGAAAAAAACAACAAAACAAAACAAATAAAGCACACATTCAATCAGTAATTGAAAACGTTTTACCCCTATTGACTTAATTTAGAACATTTGTTTGGGCCAGGATCAACACTTGCTTTGTCGGATACTATTCTCATGGGAAAAAAACCAATGGAAAAAGCCCACACACCACGCTCTCAAGAGCAAATAGCACTGTTTTTTCCGCAAAAAAAGACTCTATAAACAGATGTAAACCCGTCTAAAACACACCCTTTATATAGGAAAACTGTACCCCAGCAAGAAAAAATAGATACAGTCGAACCTGCCCTGACGGCCACCTCTATAAGACGGCCACCTGTACAAAAGGCCACTTTCCATTTCCCCCCTTGCGTTTTTTCTATATAATTTAACTGTGTAAGACGGGCACCTGTCCAACGCGGCCGCGGCCACCAAATTTTAACACACAACCCCTACCGCACTGAGCAAAAACACCTGTCTTAGACGGCCACCTTAGAGACTCCATTACGTTTTGTCATAAATTGTGCATTGGCCCTTGGCGTTGGGGGC